CACGGCAACAGGGGTGCCTACCTAGTTGGAATTGTTGTTGTTATATGGTGATGACTATTATAAAGAGAATAAATTTTTGTAACTATTTTTTTTTGCTTTTCACTTTTTTTAATTAGATATTATTACTCCTAAATTTATATTATATATTTTAAGAATATTTTTTCTCAAAATCGTCTAAAAAATAAACATACAGAGACAAGAAGTGCCTCTTTCATCAACTATTATATATGTATAAAATTTTAATGCAAAAATTACTTTTTCTGATCGGAAGTATTTATACAAAGAATTGATACAGCTGGATTTTTATGTAACTTTATTCAATGGTCACAAAATTTCTCCGAAGGTGGAATAGATATATTCTCTGTTTTCCCAACCTGACACCAACAATAAATCTTAGTCTTACGAATGATGTGACAGTGTTTGCATGTTTTACTTTTCCGTTCAACAAAAATAAGTCAATTTATATTAATTGTGTATGATATAAATATTCATACAATTGTAAACGAGTTTAACGTTTCAATATTATATATATATATATATATATATATATATATATATATATTAAATTTATAAAATAAGTGTTAATTAATAAATATGTTGAAAATAAAAATATGTATAAGAAGAAGAGTATAGAAAAATGTGTAAGAGAAAAATTGTATAAAAGGAAATAAAATATACAATAAATGACAACAACTTTCTAAATTTGGCATGTTTTAATAATGTGTAAAAGTAGCTAGACTTGATACTTGATATACTTTTCATTCACTAGTTTTCAAATTATATACTATAAATACCAATTATTACGCTGTGAATTTGGCTAACTCCATTCCCTCGTATAGGTATTTTATGTTTTTAAATAAACTTAATTTTTTTAAAATATAACACTTATTTTATCTTTTTAAAACATAATATTACGCTAATATTTCAAACTCAAAATTATTAAAATAAAAGTTTTATTAATTTAGTTTCACAATTAACAAATTTGACATTAATTCTTTTTAATTGTATGTATGATTAACTTTGAAGTATATACACAATGATAAAATAGATTTTTAGTTAATCCCAAGCGTGTAGTTCAGCGGTAGGAGTTGATCCACCCGCCCCCGCCTGTCCCGTTGCCATGCCTAGGTCAGCTATCCCACCCTTTGAGTTGCCATTATATGCAGAGACGAACAAAAAAAAATAATTTTTTAGTGACATTTAATATGATTTTTATTGACAATAAAAATTATTGCAAAATCTTTTACCAACATTTATACATTAGCTATGTCGCTAAAATATTTATCGATAATTATTATACATGCTGGTAAAAATTATTATAATGGTAAGGAAAAATGTACAAGTTTTTGTGACATTTTTTTTTACTGACATTTAATATTTTTTGTTATTGTTACTAAAAGTTTAAGAAATGATTTATAATACTCTTTAATTATCTTATCTCTAAGTGATGTGAGACTTAAGTTTTTTTTAATAAATAATTATCGTTAATAGTAAATTTTGGTGTAATGTAAATACATTATTAATTGCTATTATAATCATTAATATCACTACAAGAAAATTATTAATTAGCGAGGGATTTTAGTGTGGGAAAATTTGTCTTGCTATTCCCTCGCTAAATAGCGACAAATTAGCGATAAAAAATAATTTCTAGCTAAGTCGTAGCTAAATTGCGAGAGATTTTAGCTAAATTATTTGATACTTTGTTTCATTAATTCAAATTAATAGATAATCATAAAAATATTTAAATTTTGAATCTATATAATGGATCAAATAATTTTCAATATTTTTTTGAAAATTCTATAAATTGATCTATAACTTCAAAACATTTGATTTAATGGTTAAATTGTTCAAATTCAATATATAACATCAGTTATTTATTTAATAATTTTTTAAGTTAAACTTGGTTCTCTTATTTTTAAAAAGTTCAATAATTAATTTTATTATTTAATTATTAAATTTATTTTAAGCAGGTTGAATTGCGTCTTTAATTTTAAAAAAATTAATTTAATCAGTATTTTTCCTTTTAACTTCAAATATTTTTAAAAAAAAGAGCAAATTTAATTTTAAAATAAATCAAATTCAACACATTTTAATAAATAAAAACTTAATTGATACCTTTTAAAATAAAAAATAATATTATTAAACGTAAGAAACAAATTAAAGATTGAATTTTTTTAACAAATAAAAACTAATATAACAATTTATAATTTATATTTCTATTTATATTAGTTATTTTTTCTTAAATTATATAATAATTTATATTATTTATTTAATAATTTATATTATTTATTTAATAATTTATATTATTTATTTAATAATTTTTAAGTTGTCTCTTATTTTTAAAAAGTTCAGTAATTGATTTTTTATTTAAATATTAAATTTATTTTAAAAATGTTCGATTGAGTCTTTAATTTTTTAAAATAACATTAATTTAATCAAATTTCTTTTCCTTTTAACTTCAAATATTTTCATAAAATAAGAGTAAATTTGATTTTAAAATAAAACAAATCAAATACATTTTAACAAATAAAAATATAATTAATACTTTTAAAAATAAAAATTATGAAATTAAACTTAAGAAACAAATTAAAAAATGAAAATAATTTTTTAGCAAATAAAAACTAATACAACTATTAATAATTTATATTTCTATTTATATTATTTAAAAAAATTTCTGACATTATATAATAATTTATATTATTTGTAAAACATATATTATAAACATATCCGAAAAAGAAATTGAAAACGAATCCCTAACCCTCGTCTCTAATCCGTGCAGAATCTTACAAACAGCCACCGTTTTGCGAGATTGAACAGCCACCGTTTGGTCTTTGCGAAATCGTAAAAACCATTTTGCGGTTTGCGGTGGGAGCTGAACTGGGAGCTGAACTGGGATTTTTCCATGCGGTTTGCGGTGCGGTTTGCGGTGGGAGCTGAACGTCGTCGTCCCATTCTTATACCACACACACTGCAGTTGAGTGAGTATTTTAAATTTTTTTGAATCTACTATGTTACGCCCTTCTTATGTAATTATTCTTGTGGTTTGGAATGCTTAAATTTGTTTTATGGTTTGGAATATCTTACATTGAATGTTTTGGAAGAAGATAAAGCCACACATTACTTAGCCATTTCTTTAAGTGGTAGAATCAAACTGCATCAACTCAAAGAATCAAAGGTCTTAACTTTTTTTCCACTCCAAAAGAGAAATAAGTAGTGATATTTATTTGAAAATTGTTACTGCAAATTTTGGACCACTTGTTGATATTTTAAGCTAATATTTTCTCCCTGCTCTAGTATTTTGTGGTTTAGACCAGAGTTACATGTCTGTGGTGCTGATTGGTTATGTTAGCAACCCACTACAATCTCTGACCTTTAGCTTTTCAACATTATTATTTTATAGTTTTGAAGAGCGTCTGGTTTATACAATTTATTTATTTTCACCCACTCTTCCACTCTTTCAAACAAGTGAAGAGAAATTTCTTCTTTTCTTTCTTTCATATTTGTATTCTTCCAAACAACACATCTTTTCTACTCTACCCTCTCTTTCTCTTTTGATTCCATCCATTGTATATCTGTCCTTATTGCTTTCCTCTCTATTTCACTTCTAATCCAAACACAACATTAGTGTTTCTTTTGGATTGTCTAGCTGGTAAATAATATTGTGTAGCCGACATGTTATGTTTTCTATTTTTGAATTTACTCATATACTGCAACATTCAAGCGTCGATTGCCTGAGGTACAATTAGCATGCTGCCTATTTCATATAGATTATAACTTGTTGCCTTGGGTGGGAAAACTCCTTAGGACTTAATCACAGGGGCATTAGAAGTAACTTCCTTCATGTGATGAGGAATAGTGACTGCCAAGCATCCAAAACTGTTAGGGACTCGTTATTATACTGCCCTGACATGTTTTTAGTTCTTTCCCCTTTTTCTAGGGAAAAAACTGTGTTAAATGAGGATGCATAAATTCTCATATTTTTGTGATTATCACGTAAGAGGTTCAATTTGATGCTTCTCGTAGCTAATATTTACATTGTTCATGCAGCATCCTGGAAATATTGCAGTTGATGATGTCAATGGTGGAAGATTGATCTTTTATGATTTTGGAATGATGGGAAGGTATGTTCTTTATCTTTTCTGTATATTTAAAATATGAATTACAAGTCGAGCATTTTACTCTTGGTGAGATGAATACATTTGCTTATTATGATTGATATTGCACCCTACAGTATCAGTCAAAATATCCGAGAAGGTTTACTTGAAGCTTTTTATGGAATTTATGAGAAGAATCCAGAAAAGGTAAAGTAATTGTTTTTTATGGATGGCGTTCCATAATACGATGAAAATTCTAACATATTTCATTCTCAATTTTAAATTATTTACCAAATGAAGCTTGTGTACTTATGTAGGTCCTTCAAGCAATGATTCAAATGGGTGTTCTTGTCCCAACTGGAGATATGACTGCTGTTAAACGAACAGCACAGTTCTTCCTCAATAGGTATTTTATTCAAATTAAACCCATTTGGTGGGAATTCATAAAATAGAAACACCTATAGATACTCAGCAGTAGTATTTCTGCAAATCAATATTATCACATAGTTTGTAGATTACTGATTGCAATACCTGCGAAGGAAGCTTAAAACTACTTATAAAGAAGAGTTCTGAATAGGAGATTCTAAACTTTTTATCTTGGGCAAGGAAATTTTTTCTCATTGATACGGATTTGTGCTTGAAATACTTGGCTGTCCTGATTAGTTATGTCAAGAATATAGTGATATTAGGGTTGGATCAAGTGGTAGAATCAAACTGCATCAACTCAAAGAATCAAAGGTCTTAACTTTTTTTCCACTCCAAAAGAGAAATAAGTAGTGATATTTATTTGAAAATTGTTACTGCAAATTTTGGACCACTTGTTGATATTTTAAGCTAATATTTTCTCCCTGCTCTAGTATTTTGTGGTTTAGACAGAATCTATCTTTATATATCACATTATATGTTATGAGTTTTTATGGGAGTTATGAGGGTTGTTACCGCATCCAACCAGGCGGCTCTGATACCACTGATACCACTGATGAAGTTATTTTTATGGTATATTTGTCTGAGAGAATATTTTATGAAAGTTATTTTTATAAGGTTATTACACAAACATACTACACTACTTACGTATCCGACTAAAACAACTTTTGATTGTTGAGTCCACTAAGATCTAATTTTTCTCTCTTTTTAGAGAGAAACTATTTTTACTACTGAGTTTTTTTTTTTTTAATAATAATAGAAGTAGTAGCAATATTGGTGACAACCTAAGTAATTAACAATAGTGGTGCCTTAGGGTGGTGATTGTACATGTAGTGACAATTATGATGAAGACGGTGATTTTAGTATTTTGTATTTATGGAAAAAAAAAAGTTCCATATTTTAGTAAGTAACATGAAAGAGTCCGAACGAACGAATAATGTGTGTGTTGGCATTTTTTATTTTCGTGTTGAACGAAAATAAGACAATTCTTGGGTCAAGTAAAGGCAATATAAAAGAAGCATAAAACCATACTTTAGACTGAAATGATCCACACAACTCATTGGAAGCCATCGTGTTTGAAATTCGAGAAAAGAAATATTTTTCCTTGACAGACATATGTTCTTTGATGATCATATAATAAAAAGAGACAATATCGACCACTCCAAAGTCCAAACAAGGATGCTATCACTTTTTTTTTTATAATCCTGACCACTGTTATCGCGTGAAGGCAAATACGTTGGAATCACAAATAGACAAATTAACATATTATTCTTAATTTGGGCCGTATTATTTAATATAAAATACCCTCTTATTTTAGACATTTTTTAATTAGTTATCTAAATAAAATATATCAAGGACTTGATGTAATGTCAAATATTGTGTGCTAACCATCGTGGGAACAATTTACTTAAAAAAAAATCAGTTCAATTCATATTGTATTTAAAAATTCTTCAAGCCTATGACAATCACTTATCATGAGAGATATTATTCTCTGACATAGTGGATGGGAGATATCATTTATGAGAAGACGAAAAAAAATATAAAGATTTTATTTTATTTTATTACATGTAAAGGAATTTATTATTATTATTTCATTTTTTTAAAATTATCCATATTAATATATAAAGGAAATATTTCTTTTAATAACTAACTACCTTAATTTTCACATTTTATTAATCATTATACTTTTTTATTTTTTAAAAATTAAAAAATATTTTTTTTATCAAATTCAAAACCTTAAAATTAATGAATTAATTATAATACTAGTTAAATCATTATATTTTTATTTTATTTTATTTTTAATTGAGGTACGAAGTGTCTCGATCTACTAGTGATATATAAAGAGAAAGCAAATTACACAAGTGTAATTTTTAGTAAGAGTGACAAATTAATCTATTATCTGTCATTCATCTAATCCATACATAAATAAATTCATCTAACATAATAAATAATGAATTGGATGTAATTCATCCATTTAATTTTATGATTGGTTAGTGATCATATACTATTTTTTAAAGATATATTGAATTACAATATGAAATGTTTAATGAATTGATATTTGAAAATACTATGTTGATATAAAAAAAAAAGTCTTGTGTATCTTAAAAGATTATACAAGAATATAATAACTTATAAGAGAGAGAGAGAGAGAGAGAAATTAAATATTTTTAAAATAAAAATAATTTAATTTTAAAACATTACTTTTTATGGATGGATTGTATCCATAAAAAATTTGTTAATGGAATGATTTGATAGATTTTTTACTTTAAATGGATTGGATGAATTAGATTTTTATATAAATTTTTAATGAATCTAAATAAATTAATAAATTATTTTTATCTGATCTATTATGATTTACCTAAAAAATTATCTTACCCATCCATAATTCTTTTCAAAACTCATCGATAAATTTAATATTGACCCAAAATTATTTGAAACCTCATTCATGTATAAATCAAAATTGATGTAATATATATTTTAAAAATATAAATAATTTGATCATTTTCTTATTGTCGTTCAATTTCAACAAAATTTGACATAAATATTCAAGTAATATGAAGTTATAATTTTTTTTGGTAAAGTACTGATAAAAAAAAAAGAAAAACAAAGCAAAATTACAATCTAACGATCAGACCTCCAGCTATGTCCGCTAACACCTGAGACTCTACCTTAGGTGGAGGGGAAACAAGTTCCTGCACCTCTAGACCTCGCAATTAGCCATTGCAGCAGACCAGCCCTTTCGGTTTCCTGCCACATTCACATTTGTTGTTAGAGCCTTCTCAGGTGAATATTAAGAGTTTTGTGTTACTTTGCATGTTCTATGCATGTGACTGCAAGGTAACAAGTCAACATTGTATTTGCAGTGTTGGATGGCATTGGAAAGGGCCTCGATCCTCGTTTTGATATTACTGAGATTGCCAAACCGTGAGTATTGTTTCACAGTATATAATTTTTTAATTTTTTATACATTACATGTTTTAACTTGTAAGCTTTGCGCATCTAACATTCAGCTTTCCTGATCCTGTAGTTATGCTCTGGAGTTGCTAAAATTCCGTGAGGCAGGAGTTGAAGTTATCATAAAGGCAGTTACAAACTTGTTCTGTAATGGTTGAATTCATCTAAGCATTATGATTTCCTTTCTCATATCTTTCTTCTGAATGTACAGGACTTCCGAAAGAGATGGGACAGACAATCTCAAGCATTTTACAACTTATTTAGACAGGCTGAAAGGGTTGAAAAGCTTGCTGAAATCATCCAAAAATTGGTTTGCATTAGATTTTTGTTGATATGATTTGAGGTTTTTGTTTGATTTGTATCTTTTGTTTGTTCTGGGTTTCTGGTATTCTAGATCATATTTTCCTACTCTTCATTCTTGTGCAGGAGCAAGGTGATCTAAAGCTCCGAGTCCGAACTTTGGAATCTGAGAGGGCATTCCAGCGTATTGCCACTGTCCAGAAGACAATAGGGAATGTGAGTATGGATGGCCTCTAACATAATATAATTATAAGTTTAGTTGTTTCTTGGGATTTGGTTTGAGTCTGTTTAATAGTCTGTTGACTCTGTTGTCATTTTTTGTAGCTATGCTTTTTCTTTCAAATTTATTATCTCGTATCTATTGTTAGCCAGTTGGCTGTTGTTGGATCACCCTTGCAATGGCAACAACTCATTAACTATGGAAATAAAAATGGATACCTGCTTCCTGTTCTGGCAATATTTCACTACATTGAATAAGCTTACCTGCCTTCAAAGATTTGAAGTTCTCTTTTTATTAGTTTTTTAAAAATTGGGATATTTGTGAAAAAAAAAAAAAAAATTCTATAGCAAAAAATAATAAAGGATTTTATGTTAATAAAAAAATAATACTGTTAAAAATTTAATTTTTAATTTAAATTTAACTTTTTTAGCTACTATAAAAAGCTTTTTTATACAATTTATTTATTTTCACCCACTCTTCCACTCTTTCAAACAAGTGAAGAGAAATTTCTTCTTTTCTTTCTTTCATATTTGTATTCTTCCAAACAACACATCTTTTCTACTCTACCCTCTCTTTCTCTTTTGATTCCATCCATTGTATATCTGTCCTTATTGCTTTCCTCTCTATTTCACTTCTAATCCAAACACAACATTAGTGTTTCTTTTGGATTGTCTAGCTGGTAAATAATATTGTGTAGCCGACATGTTATGTTTTCTATTTTTGAATTTACTCATATACTGCAACATTCAAGCGTCGATTGCCTGAGGTACAATTAGCATGCTGCCTATTTCATATAGATTATAACTTGTTGCCTTGGGTGGGAAAACTCCTTAGGACTTAATCACAGGGGCATTAGAAGTAACTTCCTTCATGTGATGAGGAATAGTGACTGCCAAGCATCCAAAACTGTTAGGGACTCGTTATTATACTGCCCTGACATGTTTTTAGTTCTTTCCCCTTTTTCTAGGGAAAAAACTGTGTTAAATGAGGATGCATAAATTCTCATATTTTTGTGATTATCACGTAAGAGGTTCAATTTGATGCTTCTCGTAGCTAATATTTACATTGTTCATGCAGCATCCTGGAAATATTGCAGTTGATGATGTCAATGGTGGAAGATTGATCTTTTATGATTTTGGAATGATGGGAAGGTATGTTCTTTATCTTTTCTGTATATTTAAAATATGAATTACAAGTCGAGCATTTTACTCTTGGTGAGATGAATACATTTGCTTATTATGATTGATATTGCACCCTACAGTATCAGTCAAAATATCCGAGAAGGTTTACTTGAAGCTTTTTATGGAATTTATGAGAAGAATCCAGAAAAGGTAAAGTAATTGTTTTTTATGGATGGCGTTCCATAATACGATGAAAATTCTAACATATTTCATTCTCAATTTTAAATTATTTACCAAATGAAGCTTGTGTACTTATGTAGGTCCTTCAAGCAATGATTCAAATGGGTGTTCTTGTCCCAACTGGAGATATGACTGCTGTTAAACGAACAGCACAGTTCTTCCTCAATAGGTATTTTATTCAAATTAAACCCATTTGGTGGGAATTCATAAAATAGAAACACCTATAGATACTCAGCAGTAGTATTTCTGCAAATCAATATTATCACATAGTTTGTAGATTACTGATTGCAATACCTGCGAAGGAAGCTTAAAACTACTTATAAAGAAGAGTTCTGAATAGGAGATTCTAAACTTTTTATCTTGGGCAAGGAAATTTTTTCTCATTGATACGGATTTGTGCTTGAAATACTTGGCTGTCCTGATTAGTTATGTCAAGAATATAGTGATATTAGGGTTGGATCAAGTGGTAGAATCAAACTGCATCAACTCAAAGAATCAAAGGTCTTAACTTTTTTTCCACTCCAAAAGAGAAATAAGTAGTGATATTTATTTGAAAATTGTTACTGCAAATTTTGGACCACTTGTTGATATTTTAAGCTAATATTTTCTCCCTGCTCTAGTATTTTGTGGTTTAGACCAGAGTTACATGTCTGTGGTGCTGATTGGTTATGTTAGCAACCCACTACAATCTCTGACCTTTAGCTTTTCAACATTATTATTTTATAGTTTTGAAGAG